CAGCTTCTGGAGGAGGGGAAGCCTCACCCACTGGTGCCAGGGCACTCACTGGTGCCTCTGCAGAGGAAGGATTCCAGTCCCCAGGGCTCTTAATCAGGCATTTAATATAATTGATCTTATTACACTAAGCATATTACTGTTAAGCCTTCAGCTGTTAATGTTCAGTTGCTGTTGGAAGGGTCAGTCCCAGCCACAGATCAGCCTAAAAGCAACACATCTGAAGCAGCAAGATGATACTTCTGAGAGTAATAATTACTTTGTTCAGGGAGTCTCTGAATCAGCACAGCAACAACTCCTAAAAGCAGTAACCAGTCATTGTGAGAGACCTCTGGGACATATCCCCCAAGGGCATCTGTCTGTAGAAGTACCTTCCTCACACTGCCAACTGCCCACCCTGGGCTCTCCTGCTCCTTAAGCCCCGGCTCTGAATAGCTTGGACAGGTCTGTTCTCCCATGTCAGAGATCATCCCACACTGAACATGCTAGCATCAGGTTCTCAGGGCTTTCCAACCCCTATGCATTGCACAGGCTCTGCAATTCTCCATCCTCCAAAACACACACAAGCCTCATTGGCCTCCAGCCCAGCTCTTACATCCTCCAGGGAAGCCAGAGCCCACCTTCATCTCCCAAGGCAGAGAAAGGTTCCTGCAGGCACCACTCAGATCCCAGAAGAAAGCTTAACAAAACAAGCTTCCCTCCAGCCCAAATCCCAGGACTGCTGCTGAACAGACCAGCAAAGATTGATACCCAAAACCAGCACCTCCTCTTTAAGATTCCAAATCCAAACCTTCCAGCTTCTAAGTACCCTCTAAATCCACCATGAGTAGCCAACAGCAAGCACCTGAAGGCCAATCCTTAGGAGCTGTAGTTTGTTGGGGCTTTTTCATGTCTAAATGAAAGCTTTAACCACCCACCTGGTGAGGAGTTCATCAGCCAAGGGTTTTTTTGTGGGTATTTGGGCAGCCATGGTGAGTAAGGGGTCATCCTGAGTCTCTCCACCCAGCATCATGTGGAACCAGGCAGAAACCATGCTGGGTTGCATTCACACCATCTACTTTTCTTTGTGTCACAAGGTTTTTTTCAAGAGGTTTTAATATTGGTCAGGTTCTTACATACTATTTTTTTAAAAGGGACCTTATCTTGAATACCTTTTTTTGACATTATCAACTGTGATTCCACAAATTAGAGAGACTCAGAATATCTAATGTAGAAATCACCAATGATCTCAAAAAATATGTATTTGAGAGTGTCTTCCCATTTCTTCATTTTCCTCAGCCTTTCCAGGGCAAAATTATAACCTTGAAGTTGAGAGATGGAATAGAATTTAAGATAAAAAGAGTCAAACATTAGCTTTCACATACCAGGAATGAGGACCCAGGGCTCTAAAAGGATCCTTGAATATTTGGAACCAGAACAGTATTACAAGAGCCATCTGTGCTAAAATTATTCATCTCATTGTTTATACACATGAGGTGGAAATCTATATTTGCAAAGTATTGCATGTGATTTAAGCACCGAAGAGAAAAATTCAGCCCTGAAAATTTGGTCTATCAAAAGTAAATAACTGAAAACTGGGTGTTTGCTGATTCATTCAGTTTGTGACCAACTCTGTCATTGTCACTTACTTGGTTTCCTCCTCTGTCACACATCTCTGTTTCACAATGGACAGAGAAGACTGCATGCAAGAGTCCTTGGAAGCTGTAATCAGTTATCAGCACACTCAGATCTGTGACTGAAGGTTGTGGAAAATTCAAAGACTTCAAGCAAGAGTTCAGTGTAAAACACAGCTTGACCTGCTGGTAGGAAGGAGAAGAGCAGGTAAAGTGAGATCTGTGTCACAGGGGAAAAAAAAACCAGATTGGATTTCACAACACTGCCCACAGGATGCCTCTGTCAGACCAGTCCTAAGGAACACACTGGGAAGTCCTCATTGCTACCAAGTCTATCCCAAACCCTGCTGGTGGAAACCAGGGGCAAGGAATGGCAAACCCCATAGCAAATGATTCCCAAAAAAGTCCTCCCAATGCTGTCCAGCTCAGTGAAAAAATGCACATTCGGTGGGAGAAAGGCATGACAGCATTGGACTGCTCCTGGACTGAGGCAGCAAGGGAGGTTGTGGCTCCTGAGCCTGCTGCCCTTCCCCAGGAACTCCCTCCAGCCCCACTGTGTCGGCAGAGGAGGCTGTGCATGGACTGCCCGCCATGGGAGCTCTCCTGGCCAGCCTTTCCCAGGCCATCTGGGCCAGCAACATTAACAAAAGCAGTTTAAGGCCATGAAGTATGAGTCATGCATCCTGTGACAGCCTTTGCATACAGGGACTAAACACTAGGGTACACCATCTCCCAGTGTTTCCATGTACCAGTAGCCTCCAAACCAGTACCACTAGTTCAGCACAGTGCACATTGTGCCCTGCAACTTGCACTGGTTCTTTAATGCAGGTTCCTGTCTCTTAGAAGCAGAGCCCAGCCATGCAGTAATCCCACTGATAGCTTGTTTCCTACAGCCTCAGTCATGCTGGGGAAAACCAGTGCTGGAACAGGAAACCTGATGTTGGATAGCCCAGGGGCTTTGCAGCCTGGGTTTGAGGCACAGCTCTGGTTTGAGGTGCTCTCTGAATCATCCACAGCTTGTTAATATGACCTGCTCTGAGCAGCCTGCAGAGCACAAAGATATTCTGTTGGAAAGTCCTTGACTACTCAAAACAAACAAGGAAATAAAATGGGATGAAATATAACAGCTCCAATAAAGGCAGCATTCTGCTGTATTATACCATTTGGAAAGGCTAAACTAAATCCAGTAGTGAGAAAAATCTTGATTTCAATCCTGATTTAGCATTTTCAAGGCTAACATGGGATTACACTACACAAACAGTCTGCTACCAAATTAGTTGACTTCTCGATAAGCAGTTGGATCACTATTGCCATATTTTGCTCTGCACTTTTTGCTCTGCACTGCAGTAGATGTTTGAGTGACTCTCTGTGAGCAGAAAGAAAGCAAAATATCTCCTATTTCTGCATTTTTAGGGCCCAAACTGCTGTTCTTTCCCCTTCTGTACCCAGGCACAGAGATCTAGACAAGGACAGTTCACCACCATTGGTAAAGACCATCTCCAGACAGGGAAGACATGACCTTCACTTTCCAGTTTCCTCCTCTGCTTTCTTTTTTTTTTTTTTCTCCTCACCATTCCTTTCTCCAGAAAGTCCCCCCAGCAACAAGACCAAATTAATACTTGTGAGGAGTGTCTCACCAGACTGCAAATGCCTCTGCTCTTTATCCTAAAATAATTCTCATGTGAGTGACTAGAATTGCAAATTGTTTTACCTTAGCCAAATGTGGGACTTTAAATTATTAGGACTTTTAAAAGAGGCCAGAGGGTGCCCAGAAATGCCATTTCCACCTGGAGTAAAGCATGACCTCTGCAGGGCATAGCTGTGTCCTCTGTCACTCCTGGGGGTGGCTGTCCTGCCTGGAGCAGGGGGCACAGAGTCAAAGCTCTGGATGAGTCCATTTCAATGCAGGTGGCTTTCTTTGATCCCAGGAAGAGCTGCATTTGTATCAGATAATGGCTCAGGGTGACATTTGAAGCTGGCAGGTCCATGAGGCAGCAGCTCACCCTGGGTGATTTTCGTGTTGCCAAAGGATGGAAAGGCAGTGCTGGGCACGGTGATATCGTCCCACCACCTGTGGATGGTTCAGGGTGGCTCTTGTCTGGCAGATTGAATTTGTCATCACTTGGAAATATCTTCTTGATAGACATTTCACTGTACTTGGTCTTAAACACACCTGTGCAAATGTGTTTCCATCAGTGGGGTCACTGATGTCCCTCCTGTAGTGCCACTAGGTTGAACACTTTAATTTAGTCACTCAACAGCGAAAAGATGCTACAAAGTGACCTTTTGGGAAGGTGGAAATGCTGATCTCTGATCTGAAGGGAGCCCTGCCAATATACCCATGTATCCCAAACCAGTAGCTCAGCTAGTCCAGACCCCAGAGAGACTTTTGGCTTCAGAGAAGGAACCATGTGACAAAGCCCAGAACACAAATCACCCAATAAACTGTCAGCAGCCAGATCTAACCCGACATTTGCATTGAGCATCTCAGCAGTACAGTGTGACAAAATCTCCACTCCAAAATTACTGAATCTGGAGGAAGCTTAAATCCAGAAACAAAACACTTATACTTGAATCAGCCAGTATTTAGAATGTCTAATTCTAAATACTGGCTGATTCAGTATGTCATGGGTGGGAGTTTATGTGTTTGCATCCCATGCACACACATTTGTATGCACTCATTAACTACTGCAATTTCTAAAAAAGAGTTAAAATCTAAGATCACAAGAAGTAAGGATTGCTCATATTAGTTACATTTTTCATAGGCAAAGTCGCAACTGAGGCTGGCACCACGATTTGCTTTTGCTCAGCTCTTTTCCCACGGACAGCATTTTGGGTCAAAAACAAACTGGTTTAGTGAAGCTGCAGAGAGCCAGCCCATGCCAGGGGCAAATTCCAGGCCTGGCCTAAACGAGTGTAATTCACATTCAAATCAGCTGAAGTTATGCTAGCCTGCTCCAGGACTGACCCAGCTCCTGCAGCTTTCCTCCTCAGATTGTTCCCAGCCTGTCACTGTGATGAGCACACGCTCCCAGGATTTTGGCACAGGAGTGAGGCGGGGACGGCTCAGGACATGCTGATCAATCACAGAGCCTTACATTGGACAGATCTGAAATCAGACACCAATTTACCAACTTCCAGGCATGTGACAATCGGGAGCATTTGGGGATACATATTTATGTTTCCAGAAGAGAAAACACAGGGACCTATTAATAGATGAATCTAAAAGCATCCCTGGGACCGTGTGAGGTGTCATCATCTGGCAGCACTTCACTGTACCCACTGCTGGGAATGTAATCATGTGGGTTGTCATCGTGCACCCACCCGTAGCAGCAGCACAGGCTCAGCCCCACTCTGGGGCCAGCTCAGTCTCCACCAAAGAGGCAGCAATGTTTTAAGTCCCCTCCAAAGCACTTAGAGAGGGAGTCACTGCTGGAGCCCAGGCACAGATAGGACAGGGATATATTTTCTTCTTACCACTTCAGCTGTTTCCACCTTAGGAAACTTCTTTCCACCTCCAGCTGTTCTTCCCTTAGGAGACAGGATCCCATTTCCTCTCTCCCCAGGCAGATTGGGGAAAGCCTGGAGTCATCCTCTGGTTTCATGACAAAGGTACACTTGGGAACAGGAGGGCACCTGTGAAGGATGCTCCTCAGCTGGGGGCAATGCTGAAGGACGATGCAGAACTTAACCTTGCTCTTATTTTCTTGGAGTAGGACCTGGCTAGGGCTGGGAAATGGCTGGGCAAGCCTCAACCTGATGCCCAGACCTTGTCAGCACGTGACCCTGCAGACTGGGAAGCACTTCTCCTCCCCTGCATCCAGGCCCAGGGGATCAGGTTTGGCTGCACTGTGCATCAATATTCAGCATGAGAAACAGAAACACAATGTGTGTGTCCATTTGTTTTCATGTCTGTTCCTCTGTTTCTCCTGCCATGTGTTTCCCTTGGAACTGCAGGCACATTAGACTGTTTTCCAGCTCTGAGATAGCTCTTATTTGTATAAAGCAAGGCAGTACAAGGAGATACTGTCCTTTCCCAATAACCTCTTTCACATCTGTGCTGTTGCCCTGTAGAGGTGGAGGTGATGGCAGAAAGCAGGCTGAGTACCCACTGCTAAAAAGTGACAGCAGGAGAGGAAGGTGGCCTGACCAGCTGATTCCTGGTTAAATCCTCAGTTCCTGGGTATGGCAGGGCGCTGACCTCCTAGGGGGAAAATATTCTTATTACTTAAAGCCAAAAACATTAAATAAATGAGCAATTTTACCTCTTTTCTAACCTGTAATTTTTCTGGGAAAAATTTTTCAAATATATTAAAACAGAGGTATGTCACATCTAATCTGTTCCTGTCCTTTAGTGCAGTCATCTGGCACCCCCTTCAATTTCTAGAAGGTCATTCTACTATAAGGCTGTTTCAAATAGCTTAAAATTAGTTATGGATTTATAAACAATTACATATTTATGTAAGATGAGGGATTTTCCTTAATACACATTTACCAATACACTCAGAATATGAACTAGCTATGGTTTGGGATTTTGTTCATTTTTATGGTGTTTCTCCCCATTTATTTTATGGGCTCTGGGGAGTGGAGGCTAAAATTGAGACCTTGTAAGAGGTTATAAAAGAAAAGAATGGACCTATTTTTCATGGCAGTTTGAATAGCCAGGTTGAAGAAAAGGAAAAAAAACCCAAACAAACCAACAATGCCTTTTATTCACATCTTAGGCAATTGCTTTTTCCCAGTGCTGGACTCAGATGTGGGGACCTGTATTTTTTCTCATGGGCTTTTTTCCACTGCAGCTCACCAATGCAACCCAGTGCTCACCAAGGCGAGAGCATCTCCTCTATCTGCAACCCGAGGAGGGAGGGGCTGTCATGTATTTTTTCTCATGGGCTTTTTTCCACTGCAGCTCACCAATGCAACCCAGTGCTCACCAAGGTGAGAGCATCTCTATCTGCAGCCCGAGGAGGGAGGGGCTGTTGTTGTCCCCTCCTTAGGGACTAGACCAGGCAAAGGAGAGGCTGCAAACAGCCAGGGCCCCAAACAGGAAGCCCCAAGAGCCCAGTCAAGGGCTCTCGGGGCTTCCTGCTTGTGCCTCTCTCTGTGTGTTTAAAGCATCACTCCTACCAACATCTGTCAAAGCTGCAGGCACCTGGCACTTCTGTAAATCAGATTTTCAGGCCTTCAGCAGGCATTCAGAGAACAAGAAAACACATTTATGGGTCACCTGCAGCCAAACATCATGGAGGTCCAGACACAGATTTGCACAAACCAGTTCCTTGTGACGGACAGTCTGAGTACCCAGCAAGCCAAAAGCTCAAACTCCTTCTGTGTTGTTGATTGCATATCTCACAGGCACCACTTCCAACCCCTGTTTTTACAGAAAATGTCTTGAAAGGAGAGGAAACAGCTGGTGAATAATTCATTGTGTACCCTCCCAGTTGTATTGCAGCCTCTCCTCAACAGGCAGGGTTATCTGTACCACCACGAGCCATTCCCCAACGCTTCTGGAAACAAAGGCTCCCTTTCTGCAGCTGTTTATCCAAAGGACACGGAGAGAACTGCAGGAGGAGTTGGGGAAACAGCAGGAGAATGAGATTCCACCCAGTGTAATCCCTTCTCAGGGAGCAGAGGTATCTCTGGACAAGGAGGGCCTGGGACTCACTGTCACATTCCAGGTTTATATGCCAGCTCTGTTCCCCTCACCACTAAGTCTTTTCCCAACTTATAATGAGCCATTGTCCCATATCAGAGACTGCTTCTGGCCTTGGTAACAAACCAGAAGTTGTGAAGGTTGAAGAATTATGAAAATTAAAGAAACAAGCAATAGGACAAGAGAAAACAGCTTCAAGTTGTGCCAGGAAGTTTAGATTGGATATGAGGAAAAATTTCTTCACTGAAATGGTGATCAAGCTGCCCAGGGAAGGTACTGCACAGAACAGGCTGCCCAGGGAAGTGGTGGAGTCACTGTCCCTGGAGGTATTTAAAATATGTGCAGAGTGGCACATGGGATGTTTAGTGCTGGGTTAACAGACTCGAACTGGGTGGCACAGAGCAGCCCTGGGGAAGGGGGCAAAAAGTGCACTGGCTCCAGGGAATGCTTCTTAGGGAAAGTGGCCATTCCCTAGGACAGGGCTGCCAACCAGGATAACCACACTGCTCGTCTTGTGCTGAGGACCTCAGTCATCATCTCACTTCCAGCTCATCCTGAACTGGTGAAAAGTTGCTATTTCACCTCGCAGCCCATAACTCACACATCTATTAGTCACTGACAACCGATTATATTTTTTGCCATCACATGCAATGATGTAGATGTTGCCAGAGCCCAGCTTGGGGACTATTTCTCCATTATGTCCTTTAGATGTAATTTTAAAAAAATACTCTAATCAGCTAGCTGCCCCAATTGGCCTGCAGCATGGAGTGAGATCAGGGAGAGGTTTGCAAGTCATTTTTTCAGAGTTGCAGTAAACTCGTCTCCAGGCCCCCACCACCGGCCAACACTGCCCTTTGTGAGCTGCACAGATGCAGTGGGAGGGAGAATGTTGGTTGAAATCCTGACAGACTTTATGCTAATTCACCAAAGAGCATTTTAGACCATACACGGACACTTAATCGAGTGGGAAAGACAGCAGCGAACACGACATTTAATTATGGGAAAGAAAAACGAAGTCTTTTACCCTGCATTTGGCGTTCTCCCAACACACAGAGTTAATTGTCAGGAGGGTATATTAGAAGGCAATGAAGGAGAAGATTGAAAACCCTGATTATACTGAGGTCCTGAAAATGCTGAATTTATTGAATTTCACATGAGAAAACACAGTCTGTGCTACACTGAGGGCTGTGGCTAAGAGCTCAGGGGGTCTGTGTGTGCATGCAAGAGGGGAACAAAGCACCCCAACTGCTTTATGAGCCTCTGCCAACTGCTGGCCAAGGCCCACTGCATCCATAAAATGGGGCAGGTCAATATATACTCATGTGGATGGTCTTGGTGTCAGTGATGCACAAGGCCAGCACGTTTTTCAGGAGTTCCATTTTCCTTTAGAAAAGGATCTAACCAGGTAAAGTTAGAAAGTGTATTTCATCTGTGACCTCTGTGTAGTACATTTAGTTGCATTTGCTTAAATTTGGCTAGAGCTTGAAGCAACGGCAAGCCCAAAAGCTTTGGCAAGCACTGTCACAGATGCCCATGAGATAACAAGAGTGGTGGGGCTGGACCATGGGAAGATCCATCAGTCCCGGGTGCACCCAGAAGAGGGGGTGTTACCAGAACAGAGAATCAACCAAAATTCTCCCCAAAAAAACCCCACTGCCTCCAACAGTTTGATTCTTAGCCCTGTCCTTGCACTGTGGTGTTGTCTCTCAGCACATTTCACTATGAATTTTTCAGTTGTCCCCTGAACCACATAAAGTTTTAGCCCATTTTTTCTTCATGCCTCATCATGGGTGAGGAGCAAAATTTTGACCCGTGGATGTAGTCATTATATCATGACCTGTGGCCCAACATATCTCCCTGGGAAACTCCCCAGACTGGGTCTCACAAAGGAAAAATAGTGCCAATAATTGCCAATTCCGTCATGGCGTTAACAATCCCATCTGCTTTTGCTGAAGTCAGTAGAATTTTCTCTGGATTTTAGCAGCACAAGATGCTTTTTTTTTTTTTTTTTTTTTTTTTTTTACAGGAAAAGTCCTCGTGGATAAATGAGCTCCAGCTGATGGGGCACCTGCAGTAGCTGTCACTGTGCTGCAGGGGGGAACCTTTGGCTGCTGATGCACTCGCGGCTGCCGCAAGTTGGAGCAGGCACCGCGAGTCAGCTTTGGCCGAAATGCCCGCAGGAAGAGCCCTGCTGATTTGTATCGGGTCCCGACTGCATTACAGCTTCTGGGGCTTTTCCTAGCTTTAAACAGTTTAGGGAAAAGAGTCCTAAAAATTAAAATTATTTGTAAAAAGAAAGAATCTGACATTTGGGGTAAGATAGCCAAAATTGTTCCTTCAGATGACAAGATTTTTGTGCCTGACCAATGTCACTGGAAATACCCAAACGGAAAAGTTGTATTTGCCTCATAGGCACAGAGTCAGGCTCACTGCAGAGGGGGAAGTCCAGCAGAAAATATAAAATTCTGGCTCTTCATGAAGTGCAGCAAACCCCAAATGAAGTGCAGAGGAAACCCCAAAGGCTTATGTAACAGTGGCACAGCGCTCTCACGGCAGCCCGGTGTGTGTCCCAGTCCAGGGAGCGCTTGGCACTCGCTGTGCTCCGCACTGACTCCCGGCAGCCCCGACGGGAGCGGAGCTCCGGGCTGAGCCAGCCCCGGGCGGCCGTGGGTGGCCACACGTCCCTCAGGGCCGGCCTGAGGACACACACAGCTCCCGGGAGAGGAGCTGAGGCAGGGCAGTGCCACACCCAGCATCGATTTGTTGATGGAGATCTCAGGGGAAACTGCTGAGCCGAGAAAAACAAACTGACAGCAGCTCCATCCTCAGCAGCCAAAGGCACTTGGGTTTGGTTTCGATTTATCAGGTGCCTGACCGAGCTTGTGCTAAGCTTGAGCACAAGCCGGCCGTGTTTAGCAGGCTGGTGGCGGGCAGGAAGGAGCACTGTGCCTGTGCCAGCCCAAAGCCTGTGCACAGAGCAGGAACAGTGGGATCTGGAGCTCTGGCTCAGCCCTGCAGGCTGGCAGCATCCACCCCTCATGATACAGCTTTTAGGTAAATAATTACATTTGGATTTTTTTTTTTTTAATAAGACAAGAATAAGTCTCTCAACTAAAATGCCCACTATGTTGTTTAAAATTGATTTAAACATTTCCCACTGGTTTTTTGCTTATTTATCCCTCTCTCTGGGATTTTTTTGGAAAAAGTTTTCCACTTTAGACAAACATTTTCCTATAAGGACCTCTGTGAGGAAGGGGCTGGCTGATCATTTGCAAGAGTGTTGATCCCTGGGGCCACTTCCAGCACTGCTGGGTAATGCTCCATGAGACTTGGCAATGATTCACCTCCAAGCTGTGCATGCCCTCAGTCACACTGGATTTTCAAGAACCACGTCAGTGTGGAACCACACAGCAGGCGCACGATGCCCTGGCCGGGTCAGTGGGAGGAAAGTGTGAGCACACACCTATGGGCAGGTCACAAGTGGGAATGAAGGTTAGAGAAGTGCAGAAGCCAGGAAGCAGTTAAACATGGGTGAGCAGATTCCTCTTTTTTCAAGGATTGAGGGGGATTGTTTGACTTTAGTTTGCAGCAACAACCACGCCTCAGATCTCTATTGCACTGCCAATGCAAGCGTCCTCAGAAGAACCCAGAAAACCTCTGCATATAAGGAAGAAGGAGATGTCTCAAGACAGATTAAAACAAATCTCAGGACAAAGCCACCTCAACTACAACACTTTAAATGAAAGTCAACTTGATGACTGGCCTGCCCCAGTAGCACATTTTCCTGTTGCCTGTATGTTTCAGTTCAGCGGTGGCTGAGCTGCTGTGCAGTAAAACTCACTGGTGAATGAGCTATTTTAAAAGCAACAGAACTTTGTCCTCTTGGTGGCTCAGTTTCTCTGGTGTCTCCAAAATGTTTGTTTATAAGTGGGAAATGACTAACTGGGCAGAAACGAAGGCAGTTGAGGTTCCAGCTTTGGGAAGTTGCCCATGGTGTCAGGCAGATGGAGCTGGGGAAGCCCCGTGAGAGCAGGGGCTGAAGGCAGCAGAGTAAATGCAGCTCTTGAGTCACTGCAGGTGACCAAGGAGTTGAGCTTCTGACATCTGTTTCAGCCTCCTGGAGCCCTGAGAGAAAACCTGAACGTCACATCCCGCTGCTCTGACCTTGCCTCACCTCTCCCCCCACCACCATCCTCACACTTCTGCTAAAAAATCTGCCCTCAAACACACTTGAGTCTCTCAGAGCACAAACCAAGCATCAGAGAACCAGTCCCTTCTTCCCCAGACAAGAAAACGCTGGAAGTGGCAGTGCCAAGGAGGCTCCCCTTGCCTTTACATCTCCACGTGTTGTCAACTCTGAAGCCTAATGATTGTGCTAACACAGCAGCTACCTTTGGCTTGCTTCCAGGGACCATTGCAGCGGCTGCCAACTGCAGTGGGCTTGTGCCACCATCCCATACTCCTTCCACAAAGCCCCAGCCCCTCAGAGGGAGCATCCAGCTTACTGCAAATGTTTGCCATGACACAGCCACTGCTGCATGCCACAGACTGAAAGGTCACCTCTGACACAGGACAAACCACAACCCTCACAACACAACATTGTCTCACTCACCAAGAACAGCCCAGACACTGGGAACAACAGATCAACACCCTCTGGAAGACCATGGATGCCAGCAGTAACTTAAGCATAGCTGCTTTTATTCTATACAAGCAAGCAGAGACCTTGAACTTTCATCAGGCACTTATCACCAAGACAACCAAGAAAGGTGCTTGAACCCTGGCCAATATGTTTTTCTTTCTGCTTCACAGAATACATGAATTGCAAGAGCAGGCTGTCTCCAGGAGCATTTGTGCCTCAGAGACAGCAGCCAGGTTTCCAGGGTAAACTCAAATGAACTTTTATTTTCTTGTGGGCTTAACCAAAACACAAGTCTAAGGGATCTCAAATGCTGACATCATTTAAAAAACCCAACCCCACAGCATTACCTCTCCCAAGCACAGACCTTACTCCAAGGCTTACCTCCCTTTATCACACTGGGATATTATCCCAGACCCACTTTCTTCAGTGGTTTAAGCTGAAACACCTGGCTGTAAACCAGGACACAGGCACTTCCTATTCGGCCATCTCCAGTTTGGGGGCAGGAGAGCGAGGCTAGAGGCTGACAGCAACAAAACAGAGATGTGAAGAGGTGAGTCTGAGTAATTCTGTCTGTCTGTCTGCTACAAAGCTTCTCAGCATGACTGTAATTCCCACTGGCACTGTTGGGTGCTTCAGCAGGTGATGCTGTACTCAGCTCTGAGTGAGCTGCTGAACAGCAGCACTCCCAAGAGCCACAGAACAGCCCCTCTTGGTGACAGACCGTGTTGGCAAGTGTGGGGTACACAGATGGGATGGGTGACCAGGATGGGCTCTATCCACAGCTCTGCAAAAAAGTCTGAGGGAGCCCAAGAACTTTGTCCAAGTTTGCTTCACATCTTTCTGCAGTAAAAAAACCTGCATGTGCTCCAAACTCTCTGTTCACCTCAACAGTGGCTGCTCCACTGCAGGCAGCCCTGCAATGGTGAGCCCAGTCAGCCTGTCCTGGTCCCAGTATCCAAGCAGGGCTATAGGAGAGGTCCAGGGAGCAGAGCCAAAGGGGAGGAGACCACTGGGGCCCCTGCAGGTGGTGGCAGGGAGCAAGCTGACCTTTGTGCAGTGCTTAGCAGCTGAGTTCAGTTGTTTCTCAGCTTCCCTATTTACTCATTTTTGTCATATATCCCATCTCTCAATTGCTTTACACCATCTTTTTAGACCTTTATTTATTTCTGTTTTCTGCAGTGGAGGCATCATAAAACTCTTGCAACACCTTGGAAACATCAGTCCTCTCATTTCCCTAAACTGCATGTGGAGGAGTAGAGGAATATCCTGGCAAAGGAAGCTTGGACCCTAATGCCCCAGCCACTTAATAAGCCATGAGTAAACATACTAATGGACAAATCTGATCAGGCAGTTACAACAATTTCTATGCAAAAGCAGTGCTTCCAAATGGAGAGTGCATGAAATTATGCTAGTGCTAAATCCATCGGGTAAAAGGCATTGCTACCCTGATTTTAAGCACCTTTATATTCACAAAATTATCTATCACCTCTACATAGGGGATAGCTACTGACTTAGAAAAAGTAAATTGAAAGACCCTACTATGAACTCGCTATGGTTTAACCTCCTGATTGTACTTGGATTTGAAAATTTAATTAGAAAGTAATTACAGAGAAACCGGAAATATTGCAGAGGCCTCATCCAGGCCCGGGAGGTTTTCTTGGCAGCAGAACAGCTGCATGCAGCACTGGAAGATTTCTGACCACTTTTTTACAAAGCAAAAGACAGACTCTTTCTGAACAACACTCTGCAGCAGAAAGGCTTTTGAGTGATAATCCAATCTTTTCTCAAAGAACAGGACGGGTTTCCCGTTGGGTTGCTGGCGGCAGAGCTGCGGAGGCTGCAGCCGCCGGTGGAGTTAACTGCTGCACCGCAGCCGCTTCCCTCTGAAGGAAGCTCACGACAGAGCTGCCCTCTTTCTTCATCCCTGTTTGTTATTTCAACAGACCCAGCAGCAGCCAAGAGCAGAAAGAATGAACAAATGGGAATAAAAATAAGTCTTTTAAGACACACAAAGCATTAGCCAGTTCTTTTTTAATCTTTCTGCTTGGCCATATATCTATTGTGTTTTAGAGCTGAAATAGCAGAGGGGTTTCTTACAGCAAAGCCAGATCAAATGCAACTTTTGGGTGAGCATTATACTGTATGTACCAGCCTCTAAACAAAAGTGAGGGGAGTGCTTTGCTTTATCTTAGACAGGAGCTTGTCCTGCAATGAGCTACAAGGTCAGAACAGTTCCATGCTGAACAGCAGGGTCTCAACAGCCACACATGTCACCAAAATTAAATATACACTAATCACAGGTGAACTCAAACCATTTAGGCCCAATGGTTGGATAGGTAATTTCTGAGTCACAGAGCCCTACTCACATGCCAGCTACAAATGCCTTGGGGGAAAAAAAAAAAGGATGGTTAGGGTAATGTTCCCCATGGCAACCTAAGCATCTACACAGTGAAGTGCTGCAAAAAGAGGATATCTCTGCTTTGCTCCAAGGAGGCTCCATTCCTCCAAACCTCATAGAGAAGAGGATCAACACAGCCCTGACAAGTACAGCCTGCTCCAGAAACAGGAGCTTGTGAACATACCGCTAACACTATGTACCTACACATCCCTCAGCTTTATGCAAAGCCATTTCGGCATTCTCAGGAG